AACTCCGAAGACTTTTATCACCCATCTTAGAAGATACGAGCTTATGAGCACTTGGTTGTTAGTATAAATAAAGTATCGCGGCAATTTCAGAAGCTGCATCGGTAATTGGTATCTGGTTTCAGGTTGCTTAGTTTTACGGGTGGTGATATCATTCGGGCTCTTTTTCACAGGCGCGTAAAATCGTTAAGCACTCTGCGGATTAAAGCAATCACGAAAATGAAATTGGTGCTCCAAAGCGCTCTAATGAGCTCGGTGGATGGAGCTCTTTCCACCAGTGGTTATGCTGAGAATTTGACTTGGGTAAATAATCTGTAAGAAAATATGGTACTTATAACTTTTATGGATATGTGTTAATATTGCATCAATAGTCTGAGATTCATAGTCGAGAAAAACATTGTAATGATATTATTTTGCGTACTTTGAGTTTTAAGACTGATCGCTGGGTCGCATTACAGAGATGACTCTAGGTAATTATTTTTAAATCTGAAAGTTCTCACCCTGACATTTAGTTACATATATGAGGTATTGGTATATGTAAAAGTAAATTATAACTGCTTCCTTGGGCTCAAACGTCATGGTATATATTCCACAAAGAATTCTCTGATCTTGGAGATTCCTCCACACGAGTTGTCCAGATCGGAATCTAGTCCTAGGTACATGGGCATAAAACTATATAATAAGGTGCCTAACATACAATTTTAAATAAGAATTAAGGCATTGTTGATAAAGAAAACATTTGACTCAGTGACTGAATATCTCGATGAAATAACATATAGTCCAGTTTTTTGTATTGATTTCTACATTTGACATTTCATTTTGCGAATACGCATGTTTTTTTATGTGCCGCTATTGTACTCCAAGATAGGGAGCCTAGGAGATCTCAATACATGTGGGAGATATACAGCTTAGGTCAAATTAGGAAAAAGTTGCAGTCTTTGGGGCCTATTTACATGCCGTTGAGAAACTTGTGAACATTTCATGGCTAACTGAGATATTTGGGGAAAACTAAAACTTGGCCAAATCACTTTTTTTTCTTTCTGACTTTATTTTTGTTGATACTTTTGGAGGTTATTTTTTAGTATATATGTGCGCTGTTTTATTATCAAAACCTGTATTGCGTTCCCATTTTTAGTCATATACATGTACAATTATGTGTTTATGTGGCGATCTTTAAATATGTATTTCATTAATTAATTTAGGATTTGTTCCAGATTTTTCTTTTTTGCTTTTTGTCACTTCCTAATTCTGTCTAGTCTGAGTTGTTCTATATCTCTTTGAGTAGACAGAGTGAGAAAGGAATTTGAATTTGAATAGAGCAGATGTTACGTACATTAAAATTTGACGGCCAGTTCAGCCAGTCAGGGAAGATCTTATTGAGATACAATTTGAGGCGAACCTATAATAGGTAATCATCGAAGAATGCTTGTATTATAAATAAGAATATCTCCTGAATCTAAAATTATGTGCTGGACCTGAAAAACAGTATCACTTCCATAGAGCTGGCCATTTCTTACCATTGGTTCTAGAAATAACGGGCCGGTATATATTAACCAATGGATATGAGATAAATAACTGAATTTCGACGGTCCTTTTGTTACATCAGTCCTTCATCCCAAAACATCGATATGAATGATACTCAAGATACAAAAACGTCGAATAAAAAATTTTGAAAAGCGACCATAAGGCCACCATTTAATTACTTTGATATTTATAAATACAAACAAAACAAATTGCATTGCAAGGAAAAAATAATCGGTTAAAATGAAAATCATTTAATTTTTTCTCTTTGTGTTTTTATATTTGCTGGGCAATTCTTCCAATCGCATATGTGATGAAGGGATGTGATGATATGCGCCGCTATCATGCCAGTTTGCGTAGTGCGTCGTTAAGAGCACGGATTCATACTGTAGTTGAGCCACAAACCAGAACTAGGCTCTTAGGCCGCGGGTTGCAGACAACGGGTGCAAAGGCTTGCGTAATAGCGAACGCTACAACAGCTCGACCTGCTGCATCGGTCTTCTTTGAGCCTAACAAGAGCTCATTATGGGCATTGAAATCACCAAAGAAAACTACCTCTTAAACATAGTGAACGATATTCAGGAAGATGATTTTGACGGCAAATTATTCAGGTAGGTCATCCCAGTCCGAAGCCACAGAGTGTCCTTCCCGCCTGATTATCTGTAGCAGGAACGACTGCTGCAGACAAAAGTCACAATTTCTCCGTTTTTCCTCAAATTGGAGCGGGCCTTGTAATTTGGAAAACTAAGATGGTTAGTCGGGATCGGAGATTCTGGTCTCCGCCATAAAAAGCACTGTGGGACATTTTATCATCGATGTTGTTCAATTGAGTTCACCCTCCATCTGGATATTCCGGGGAATCCCGGGCAAGACGCATATGTCAAGGGAAAGTGTCAATAAAACAACAACCTAACAATCAACAAATTATTCCCCCAAAAATTCTCCGAAAGGTGTATAAATCAATTCAGATTGGGAAAAAATCACCCAATTTGGAGGGATGGAACCAACTGTCATCAAGGACAGATGTACATACATCGCCAAACCATAGTTATTAAAATAAATAGAATTACCTAAGTAGGGCTAGAAATTATCAGATAGTAATTTGTTTCGCATACTAGATTTATCGTAAAATCATCTTATATTTTTTCCTGACTTTATCTGAGATGGGATTTTAAAATAAATAACATCTTGTCATTGCCATTGTTTCTTCTCTACAAGAGGGCGTGGTCAAATTTTCAATTAGAGGTTTTTTCTTCAGACTAACATCACCAACTAGGTTTTTTCATATGGACGCTATATTGGAAATTTGTACATTTAAATACTACTAAGAATAATATTACTGTAATGAAATATGGGAAGTTTATCTTGACAAATATATGTATTATATTCATAATTACATGCAGGACTTGGATATGCCCTCTTGAAGAGGAGAAGGATGATAACATGAAATTTATTTTATGATCCCATTTCAATTGAAACCAAGAAAAAACAACGATTTTTCAATAAATCCGGTATATAAAACAAATGACCGATATTTTCAAGGCCTACCTATAGGAAATTATATTATTTTTTTTAATTGGCAATATTCATCTGACATATCATATAATTTTGGAATTAGAATTAAAAACTCTTTCCACCTGTGCAAAGATCCAATATGGCGTCCATTAGATTTCTTCTAAAGTTGATGCTGGAGGCAAGAGACAAAACGTCATAATGATATTGTAATTATACCATCTTGTAGAGGAGAAACAGTGGCAATGTTAATTGTGCAATTTATTTTAAGATCTCAGCACAAATAAAAACAGGAAAAATTTAAAACAATTTTGGTAAAAGTTTTTTCCGTCTCTCTCCGGAAGTACTTTGAATTGTAACATTTTTTAAGCGGAATCTTGTTAGTTACCCAAACACGCAGCTTGGCTCTCAATTAAGCCACTTCGTATCTCTTAACGTTTCCGAGATCCCAATGGTGACAGTTTGAAACACCCGGTATATTTTCCCAAAAACGAGGCAGACTTGGGCGTCTAGGGGGAGGGTGTCCCTTCGCCCCATTCTAAATCCGCCTTTGGCTGTCATTCACTTTATGTTCACTTGTGCTAGCTGTGCGTGTTGCCTAAACGTCTTAACACTTGAGAGCTATATGGTTTGCCTCTGATGTGATGTAACATCTGGTTCAGAGATGGCACTAGCGGAGGCCATTAATAGCTTATACTCGTATGGCTTAAGCTGTAAATTCTATACACTACCCGTTGTTGCATTCCTCCGTAGGTGGGGTTCTCAGCGTGTGGCGTGAACTAGTACTAGCCAGTACACAAGTTGACATTATGTCGACTTTCAGTGACATTATATCGGTGTATGAAAAGTATGAAAGAGTACGTCCACCAAAAGTGATGCGAAACAGATATGTCCCCTACCATCCACCACCTTGCAGTACAACCGCAGCCTTACTGACCATGACACCAAATATAATAATGACGTCGATTAAAAAAAAATTAAATGGAAAAGAGGCTAAATGTGAAAAGTAAAAACGTCTAATTGTTAAGTTGATAGTCCAAGAAAGACATAAAACCAAAACAATAACCAGTGCGTGATCAGAACGTTGATATATTTCAAGAAATCTAATTTATTTTATTATTATATGAAATTTAATTACAACAATTAAAAATTTAATTAGCCATGTGACAGCTAACAACTCTAATTAGTTCAATTAAACTCCGATGTCTAAGAATAATCACTCGAATCATGGAACTAGTTTAATTAAACCAAAACCCAGTCGTTTAATTAAATTTATTAAACCGATTAATGAGCCTGATAACACCAATTTAATTAAAATTACCGCTCCAAGTAAAACACTTTAATTATATTTTCAAATTTGTTCCATTATCTTAGGTAACAGTGTTTGCAAAGTTTTATAGAATTATTTTATTTAGATGTAAAAGGATATGTGGTATTAAAAAAATGCATTGGACTGAATAGTGTATATTTTAACTGTGCTCTGAAAAATCTTAGATGTCAAAAAACTTGGAGAACTTGATATTGATAGTTGATGTTTTCAAATCAAAATAAAAACTTCTGAATTGTATAATCCTAACATTGTATCTTTATTTCAAATAACTAAATAATATTGCACTCACCCGTATTGAACGGATTTACAAATATAAATAACTTCAACAGCACTTTAAACAAACTAGGATATTTTCAAATACTACAAAGGCTCCACTTCCTATATATATACATTATACAATATAAAAGATTGCCTATGTTAAGCAAGTGTTTGGTATAAATGCCCTCCATTGACCTAAATATGGCTGCATGCATAATATGTCAAAGTTCTTCCCATTCCGTCACGTCAGCAATACTCAATGTTTCATTTGGAGCCAGAAATATTCTAGCCATGGTTATGAGTCACTGAGCGCTTTAAGCTCGAGTATTTAACTTGATCTCCATAATTGATCCACTTCGCTTCACAGCTAATAGTCCTGTCGAATCCCCGAGTCAAATAAACAGTTTAACTGTTTTTATTAAAAAGTTGAATGGCTTAAATGCACCTTTTCTACATAAAATAAATTACCCAAGCTAACTATACAGTTCAATAAACAGGTACATGGTTTGCTATTTTCATATTAGTTTAATAGTATATTACTTTCGATTAAACTGGTACCAGAAAATTTAGTTTAATTAATCCAAATAATCTAGTTACCTGGAGTAATTAAAAAGATTATTACGGGTAATGCAATTTTTTTACTTAACTACGTTTTCTTAGTGCAGGACCAATGCCAGGAAGGTGGATAAGTAGACGACACGTCGGTTCATGCAGCCTCGTCAGCCGTTAATGTTAGCTTGGCGTTCTGGAGTCCGATCACGTGGAGTATGAGTGAATATCTTTAGGCTTAGTTCCTTTCTTCAACAAATGGGCTATGGTAAAAATAATCTGATGGTCGGTTCCATTCGACCACTGGTGTATTTTCCACCATCCACGGCATATGCTGAAATATATACACAATGAGAGAGAGAGGCTGTTTAAGCGTTTGCAGAACAGTTTGCGCCGTATATTCAGGGCCGTTCAGAGCTGTACAGCGGTTTGCAGATAAGGCACGGACGGACCGATCCTCGCTTGGTTGCCGTGCTGCTATAGCAAAATTTCAAACGGCAGCGGCAAGCAGCAATATGATACTTCATGAGAGATGGTGAAACGTACACCGAAAAAGATTATCAGAGTTCTGCGAGGTTGCTATGGAAAATGATTGCTCTAATCATGAAAAAATGTCATCTTTCGTTGGGACTAAAGAGTAGAGAAACTGCAGCATATTTGGAATACTGGTTTGTTTTTTGGAAATAAATTGCAAGATAAACGGCATAGCAAAATAAAAACTGCAACAAATTATTGGGAAATTATTAAATTTTGATGATATAAGCAATCAAACAAAACAAAAACCCCATGATAATATTTATCAAAATAAAAAACTCCAACAGCATAAATTTACTTAGGGTGCAGGTAATTTGGAATATAGTATTCCAAATTATAATCACTTTCTTTTTTGTCAACACTTTTTTCTAGAAACGAATAATTTCTCAACTTTGTAACCGCTTTACAGTCTTTGGTAATTAATTTGTTTAACAAAATAGCTTATAATTATTAAGTTATCAGTCACAATAATCACAAATCAGTATTCAGACTAAACTTATAGTTTAGTGTTCTTAGTTACTATTCTTACAATAATCACAGATAATACGAGCACAACCCCTACAATCAGAGGGAACCCACAATTGGCACATTAAGCACATTTCCTACTTTTCCCATCTCTTTCTTTTCTTGTTCTAAGGTGTGTCTAAAAGACACAGAGAAATTAATTACCTATACCGCAAATATGTTCATTAAATTTGGAATATTCCAAATTGTGTTCACTTTCGGTATTCCAAATTAACAACATAACATAAAATTCCATGTCACATTTTTACTTTTAAATATATTCTTGAAATCAGAATAAAATTGTAAGCTAACAAGGACACATAACAGTGCAAATAATTGCAATGAATATTTGACGTATCAGAGTAAATGATTATTAATGTTTGCATTCCTACCGAAAAAGTTTTCATAGTAGACGTCTCGTTTCCTTGTGGATGGTAACAGGAAATGTCAAGATGGAGTCCTGTTTTTAGTACTAGTGGTTTCGTGTGATTTAGATAACCATATGGCGTTTACATTTATTTAGATAACTAAGTATTCCAAGTCACCTGCAGTATTCCATTTGTGATGGGTCCCTCTATGAGAAACCCTGGATACTCTTCATGCCTGGTGAATTAAAACTGTTGCAATTTAATGTTTTTGAAACTAACCCTCACGTCTCTCACTGCTGTACCTTGTACAATGCACCCAATGGAATATTCGTGTCTGGTAGGTGGGCTGTCTTGACATGGTTTTGTCATTTTCGATCAAGCGTATAGGACTTAGGCTATAGAGTAGCAGCAAGGAATAAAGTCTGTTATATGTTCACTATCAAAATTTTCATTAAGGCTACACAACGACCAGAAAAAATCGAACTTGCCCACAGCTTGGTAAGCTACGGTCTATACTCTTAGTTCTAAAAGAGAGGAGAGTAATCTGTAACACTTCTGAAACTTTTTCATTTCGTATTGAGTTGTGTCCAGCAACTTCAGTGCGGTTGCTCGTGATAAGACAAGGAGGACTTGGACTTGACTTATGGCCTGCTCGATCTCTGGATTTAAAGCGCTTTGGTTATAATCTGCCGAACAATTCACCATTATTAGCTTGCACTTCCGTGGGAAATTTCCACCAAAGGTTTATAGTAATCTTGTTCTCAGCGTGGTAAATACATATACATATGTACATATGTAGATTTACAGTCCTGCAAGTAGAAACCTATTGTTTGGTCCTTCCGGCTGTCTCTGGTAGTCAATCCATTGCTCCGTTATCGATCCAACTTTTAATATCTATGATCAGCCTTCTAGTCCATGCACCGGGACTAGTTGCATCCCACCTCTCCTGCTGGCAAAAAGCAACTCTCTTTCATCGCTGCCAGCTTCGGCGCCCTTTTTGAAGAGCGTACATCTCTCATCAGCCAGCAAATCAATTGGCAGGATACCGTTCACCACCAGTTGTGCATCCGCCGACACCGTTATGTGAGCGCAGACCACGCGCCTTTTCCTCAAGGCCTTTTCATAGATGCGGGCGTACATCAAAACCGAGTTATCACCCTTGTAAAAATACTGCGCCTTTCACTACTAGGACCTCCATTAGGTGGCATTAGCCCAATCATAGATGACTGTATTAACCAAGTCATTGATGCGCCTTACATGTTCAGTCATTTTTAGATATTTTGGCGCGCCACACACCCAGAGAATTGATAGCATTTTGACTATGAGACTCGGCATTCTCTACCTTTACAGCCAACGAAGTTAGCTTCCGTTTGTCAGAAAGTATAAGAACTTCCGTCTTCTCGGAAGCTAATTTCAAGCCGTTATTCGCCGTCCGTTTGTACTGGAGTGTATAACCATAGTACCATTAACAATTTTCGTATTCACTCTTTCTCTCTCTTTTTTTGTTGGTGGTCTATAGTTATGCCCTCCAGCTTAGTGATCCTCATGGTTCCATCTTAGCGAGATGAAATAGTTGTACCGAACAGACAAGGCAAGATGTGACGAGAACGTGCAGGTAGGTACTCGATCCATCTGCCGAGAATAAGTTTTAAGGGCTAATGTACAGAGATACATGATGTGTGAAATACGTCTAATATGTACATAGAATTACCAAGCTTGGGAGCGTATAACCGTACTAATATCAAAAAATTGAGATAAGTCCTCCCCACCCCCTACAACTCACACACTCAAGTTTTTTTACCCCTTAACTTATTTCCAAAAATGATCAATCAGACTCCTCTGATACGTCAACAAACGTAGTTTAAACGATTTCTAATTTCTTCATTTCAGACCTTTTTCTTTGCCGCCACTGGACCGATTTTCAAAAACGACAAATCTTTTGCATCCCTGGCATAGTAGTAATATTGTGTAAAACTGTCATCCAAATCCGACCGGCACGGGTATCATGTAAAAAACCTACAAAACGTGAAACAAAACCTATAAGATGTCAAATTGCAGACTAGGTAGTTTTTAGGGCGCAAACAGTCATTCCACGTTTGCTCACTAGGATCGTTGTGCACGTCCAATCACTCAACTAAACTACACACATTATTGGTTGCATAGTTTTGTGAGGCTGAGTGATCCGTGTCTGTAGCTTTTATCTCTGAGAAGAAAGTTGGTTGAATAACAAGATCGCACCTGGATGATAATGTGTATTGGTCTGCCTGTGTATAAAATCAGTGATATTTGCTGTGTGAGAAAATCATTACCGAATATGCTAAATATGACGGGTTATTTATATGTTGTGGTTTCTGAAGAGAGGTTATGTTCAAAGTTATAAACTACGAAAAACTGACGAGAATTACGGGAAATCATCACCGCGCCCGCGTTGTGTGTAATTACTGTTAGCACGTATATGGCTTGTAATTCGACAGTGTACAGTGAATATAATTATTTCTTATTTCTCTCATTTTTGAAATTCAGCAAATTTGTATATTTAATTTCCAGAATGGATAAGAAGTGGATGCGCAACTAATTTCTAGCTTTGAATCTCAATTAAGTGTATTTGAGTCAAGAACCCAATGTAATTATCATCAACACATACAACTTACAGCTTAGACCTCCAGTAATGCCAACTCAGAAGCAGATTTTACATCACGTCAAAGCCAAAGATTGATAACAAGCCTCATGACGTTTAGGAAACACGTAGACTAAGTGCTAAGCCAACGTCTTGGCGAAAAAAACTACATAATATAAAAAAACAGCATAATGTCAAAAAAAAAATCGGCAGAATGTCAGTTTTCAAGATACGTGATACCCGTGCGGCACTTCTCAAGTTATGTCATGAGTGACATGGATTTCGTGATGTACAATATCATACAGTAGAACCTCGATTATCCGAAATCCGCTTTATACGAAACAGATCGCCTACAATAAGTTGTTCGGGAAATCGGCGCACGATCCGAAATAGCCGCCGGTAGTTCCCCTTTCAGCGCTTGCGTCAGTAGATTCGCTGCAGGTGATTCCCCAAGCGCGTTTGCGGAATTCACTGGTATGTGTGCGTGTATGTCTGTTTCAGTTAGGTTCATAATCGCTAAGATGGAGCAGCATATAAACGTAAACGCGTTGTTATTACCATAGAACAGAAACGCGAGGCAAACAGACGTATAGATAGAGGTGATTTGCTTAAAAATGTGGCAAGTGATGTGGTTGTGGGCGTGAGTACCATTTCAGAATGGAAAAAACAACGCGAGAAAATTGAAAAGTGGACGATGCTTTATATCTGTGGTTTACATAGAATCGAGAACGTGGAATACTAATTTCCGGACCGATTCAAAAGCAAAAGGCAGTCAACTTAAGTGAAGGATTGAAAGTTATTGAGGCGCCTGATAACTTTACAGCCAGTTTAGATGAGCTCGTCGTAAAAATAGCAGGCTGTGAAAATCTTGCCCAAGCAGATGTTGGTGAGTGGATTAATGGTGACGAATTGGTGGAAAAATTAAGTGATACAGAACTAATAAAAACTGTTTGTAACAATGGCAATGAGACAGTTTTAAGTAATGCTAGTAAGAATGAGACAGAAATCTCTGCCAAAATATCACATTCTGAGGGATTAGAAGGTCTACAAAAGGCGTTGACTTACCTCGAACAACAAGAAAATGCGACAGCAGCTAATGCGCTACTTATCAAACGTTGGAGGGATATTGTTAAAAATTACTTCCTTTGTTACTAAATACTCGTAAATATGTATGTTTGTATCTACATATTTATATTTTACGTAGCTTTATATAGGTACCTATATACTCACTTAGCACACGCATTTACTTTTTCCAATAAAAGCATTATGAGTCTAAATATTTACTTCCGTCTTATCCGAAATTTCAATTATCCGAAAACACTTGGGTCCACATTATTTCGGATAAAAAACATAATATGTCAGTTTCGAAATTTCTCCAGATTATAATACTTCTCCGCCGGTAGGCACGGGAAGTAAAACCTATATAGTGTAAAAAACAATAAATGTCAACTTGTTGACTGGGTAGCAGCTAGTATGCAAATAGTTCATTTCGCACCTGCTACAAGTGAGCATTAAGTGAACGACAGCTAGTTCCAAGTTGACATCTTGTATGGCGCCCTACATAATATCATACAAAACCTATATAATGCGAAAAAACTGACATAATGTTACTTTACAAGTTACATACTACCGCTGCAGGGCGCTACTAGCAAGTTTCTGCGCCGATTCGAAAAGATCGTAGATCCGGGGCTGGCCTCATCTCAACCAATATAATCAACCTCACATTTATCATTTCCCGAGAATAAATAGCACGTCTCTTTCAAGTGCAGTTGGTCAAACTTTTTACCGTAATTACACGAAATTACAGTAGTAGTTACCAGTACGTTTTTTACCGCTCCAAAAATGGAAACAACCAGCAAGCAACTTCTGATCAGTCTGTTGAACAAATAAATCATCAAGATTACCCGTAGCCTAAACTGTCCAGCAAAAGGAGGAGTAAGAAGTCAGAAGAAAATGTTGTGGCCAATTTTCGATAATAATGACATCCTCCGTACCACGTACCGCCGCATATTTATCTCAACGGTAATAAGATGCCGCTCGACTTTTTCACACAGCAGGATTTTCTCTTTCCTGCTGGATCGGACGGGCGTTCGTGCAGGCGGCGTTGCCATATTTATCAGACTTTCAGTGAATCTGATTTTTGCATGTTTTTGCTTGTCCTATGAAATAGCCGCTTGGACAGTAGTATTTCATTTCTATATGGAAGAAAATGCAACTGAATAGCTTACAAAAGTAAGTGAAGTTATTTAAAATGCCAAATTAAAACTGTGCCTAACGGAGGATGTCAGATATTGCTATTCCTATTTTTTCTAATCAACTCTTTGATCTAATTTTTCCAACCTATTTGTGGTTTCATTTCGGCCCAAACATTCGTCGTCACATCATTGACGTCAAAATTTGGAATAACTCGTCAACCAACGTGATTGTTCCAAATAGCGACGCCATAATGGCGTTTGCCAAAGCTCCAATTGTGTACCTGTAATGCAATACTACTAAATATTTATATTTAAGATGTCTTTGTTAATTTAGAATCAATCTTTCCCATCCAAAACGTATCAAATCGGCGAACGGAGAAATAATTATCTCATTCGTTAGCGGATCGATGTTTACTCGAACCAACTCAAAGTTATCTGAAATGACAAATTATTAAGATGTTGCCC